CGAAGTTGAGAAGCTGACGCCCCGCAGAGAAGATGCGCTCCACTGCCGTTGATGTTGCTAGAACAAGACTATCAATACGTATACAGTCGGACATGAGAAATGAAACATCGCGCGAGCAGTCTTGACTGCTTTACGCCCAAGCTTGCGAGCACCATCAATAACCGAACGGATGGAGGTGATTGATGTGTTGGACAGCTGGGAGGCATTGTCACTGTCGGTGTCAGTTCGCTGGCATTTTCCCATGATTGGAGAGAGAGAGACGATGTTCTGGGGCAACGTGAATGAGCTAGGTCTTATATACCCATGGTAGTCAATGTTTTGTTTTATCTGTTACTGTTGTGACTTGCTGCTATCACGATGGTTGGGAAAGATGAAATGGAGATTAAAGTGGAACCTGGACAAGCTTTCCTTCGGAATCAGACACCAATGGAGGAATTTTGCAGAGGACATGATTTAGCACAACGATATCAGCACAAATGGAGTACGATGTAAATCTAAACAGCCAGATACCAAGTAAGTGAAAATGAGTGGTGTCAAGTCGAGCTCGGTGCTCACCTTAACTAGCAAAGACTCCAACAAAGGCTACGCGAACCTGAATTTCTTCTCTTTCCTATCTACATCCCTGAATTCTGCGTGCGGAACCGGTACAAAGACGCTGTCTGAGCCGAAGAGGTGTCGGACTTGAATGTCTCCAGCTCCTAGAGTGCAAATTCCACAGAAAATAAGGGTAGAGTAGACGGCCTCGTGTGGAAGGAGAGATGGTTGCTGAAATGCTGACGCGTCTATTTTCCTCCCGAATAGCGGCATACCAAATATGGTAATAGACCCGCCAAACACCGCGAGACCGCGGGTAAGGGTCGCGGTACTGGCGGTGTTGACCAAATCCAACACCGTACCCTTACCCGCCATACCCTTCGTCCAAATACCGCGGTGTCAATGCGACCCGTGTGCAACCTTAATTCTTACTAAAGTGCTCTAAAGCATCGGCGTGGGATAGACTCAGAGTGCGTCGAACAATGTAGTCGATATCAGGGAACGAGGGACAGGTTGCTTCGTGGAGTTGTACAAAGATCGCAATCGACTCGATTGGTTTTATTCGTTTCACTCGGGACCTAATTCGAACGCTAGTGAGCATTAATGATACAAACAGGCAGAACCTAAAGCGACGTACTTGATCTCTTTTCTACATGCCTCTAACGCTACAAAGCTCCCATACTTCCCCGCTGCTTTGTATAAATCCATAATGTTGTCATTACTGAACCTTTGTTGAGAGAGATCGGGAGGCGAAGTATTGTGCATGAATTGAAGTAACAAAGCGAGCACAGACCCGCTCTCGGCTAGTCGAACAGGTTCATGCGTCGTAAGATTGTCCCAGTCTGCATTAGGGAAGCTGTCGGTATAGATTTCCAGGTGTCGCTTATGCGCGCCGAAGTGCTTGTTATCATTGGATACGAGGACTATGTCGCAAGGGATCAAACACTCTTCGACTATTCAGAACAATGAGCGCTCATCATCGTTCGCAAGAGAGGGTACACCAACCTGGGCATTTTGGGTGAGCTTCGGTATCCATATCAAAGGGGAGAATCGAAATGCAGGCAGTCAGAGGTAGACAACGATGATGGTCAAGGCCAAGAACGTTCAACCGGGTAAGTAGGTCGACGCTGTTTGAATAAGAACGTTAGGATGCTTCTCCGTGGGTATTTGGCTGTCAATCAAGCAGAAATCATTCATATTCATATATGTTCATCGCTTGTCGGTGTCCCATAATCATAGGGATACTTTCAAGTTACAACGCACAGCGAGGCTTGTGTACCCGGCGACAAGTTGCCTCTAAAGAGAGAAATAGCTTAGTTGCTACTGTCACAGGAACCTGGCAAAGCACGAGAACGCCCATCAAAGGTAGAGGTGCCAAAATGTCAAAGTGTCAAAAGTCATTGGTCATTTTCGTTACCGCGCCCCGTTTCCAGGACCTGGGCGCAAAGATACGCGATTCTTGTCGCAGCATGATTGAAGAAAGCATACGGAGTAGTAAGACGAGCAATTTACGAATCTATTCCCTTGTATTGAGTGACGAGTTGCACAGAATATCACCGAACGCACCTCTTCTACAAGCTCGCTGCAAACTATGGATAAACCCAACGACGGTTGCTTGGTTGGTGACATTAATGACGGACGTACCTGAATCCATTTGAGTCGAGCAGCATAAGCAAAAGTCTTCTTGGAACGATCTAGCGGTAGAAGACAAGTGAGGTTGAAAATGAGTTAAACTCGAGGGGTGGCATGTTTCGCTTCTAACCTGTGCCCTCAGGTTAACCCAGACGTGTTGCAGAAGCAATTCTTCTGACCCTTGTTACACCTGTTGCAATCATCACTCTTTTGATAATGAAAGATCAAGTTCTCGACATTTGATGGGACTGTTCATATCTAACCCTAACACCTGCTGAAGCCATGCTGCGAAGGCAACGGAATCGGCTGTTTCCTGTTGGTTCGATGAATTGATCATCGCGCTAAAGTGCGTACTTCGAAATACGGAAGCGAACATCACAGAGACGAGAACATAATGTTACCGCAAAGGAAGCTTCGCCGTGGGCACCAATCCTGCCGAATATTTCGATGGCACTTCATCAACGCCGCCTCATGCCCGAAGAACCCTTGCTCTTCAGGATGATTTAGAGACCTAGGGTGATAAAGGATAAAAGGGCTTGTACAGGAGCCCTCAGTCGGCCCTTCTCGGCTTGTGTACAAGCTATCATTTCAATTTGGTGAACTCGCAGAGGCATTCATGGTCTCATCCCATCCCCACTAGTACTAGTACTAGTCTCCCATAATAGGACGATAGTGGTGTGCGGTTCGACGATCAAACACGAGCCCTTTACTGTAAAGCTACATAGCTAGAACTAGGGGTACATCGAGAAGAAAATCGAACACTTATAACTTGTAACGGCCGATTTATTTAGGCTCGACCAGGCGTCTTTACCGGGATAGACAATCAAGGGCGCCCACTCCCCTTTGACCATCTGCACCACTCGCACCACATTGGAGGTAATTGGACCACACTCGCTCGAGATACACCACACTTTGGCGGTGTGTTCCTGAGTGGTGTGGTGTACTTCATCCGACGTGTGGTGCAGAATCTTCCTTGTTGAGTCCAGGGTGATCATGGCCAAGACTGCGATGATCTATACCTTCCGTAAGTGGTAATAGCGTAGCGACAGTAGTATTTGCTCAATGGTCCAGCCTAGATTTCCAATTTTAGTTCACGGTAGCTGGCTTCAAGATGGATTCTGTTGCCATACCGTCAAAATCATGCATATAGTGACTTTGAACACGTTTTGAATAGCCTGCCTAATCATAGGGCCGAGGATTTGTGAAGACGATGAATATAATAATAAAATTCACTCGAAAATTCCTTGCTTTTGCATCTTTTGGTGTAATAATTTCGTACTGTGGTGATCATTTAATGATACTCTTGACCTTGAGGACGACATAGTAGAGAGCCCGGTCATCTGAGCTTGATCAGAGCGACTACTCAAGGAGATTTACTTACACCTGACGTCCGAGTCAGCTATGGGGACATCTTGACGGGAGATGCTCGGGAATTCCCTGGATTCTGATTCTCTGAAATAATGAGCTATCTGCTAGAGGTAAGTACTACGTTAGATATTAAACATTAGTACAACCTTCACCAGAGGCCTCTCATAGATATCGATAAGTGGCTATGGAGTTTTGTGTTGGTGAAATGGGTGGTGTCTTAGAAATAACTCAATCCCGGCGGCATGGGTAATACCAAGTCAATAGATTTCATACAATTCCACAGAGCCGTTAACTTGAATCCAATGGGCTATTATAGTGTCGTCAGCTTGAAAGTTTATCACGAGAATAAAATGGACATACCAAGCACCTGTGGATAGCCTACCAGCTTGATTCACAGCGAAAACTGTACCGAGTCTCAAACTTGAAACACAATTTCACGCTCCTTTTCACACTCCTTTAGATCGATAGATTTCCGTGTCAACGCAATACAGAAGTCATACAACAAATAGATTCTACACCTCAATGAATCGTACGACGTTCGACAAAGTCGATGCGTTGATGGGTGTTCGGAGCGAAAATTTCGCCGTGAGAATTCGTTCAAATTACTATCACAGGTCACCGCGTGATCGTCACGGTCGAATCCGCCTTGGCCTCTACAGTGTCTGCACCACACCATCTGCGAAGTGTACCACATCAGGCAGAAAGTTATCTGCCAAGAAGTGGTGTATTTTGTGCCAGTGTGGCGCGTTTTAGCGTAAAGTGGTGTGAGTGGTGCAAATGGTCAAAGGAAGTGGGCGCCCTTGATTGTCTATCCTCCGTCTTTACCAAACAAAATTCTCCGTGATCATCAGCACCAATGATATCCATCGCCGATGCACTTCTTCGACAGCCTCGTGTTTGCCTCGCTTTCATCATTTGCGAAGCATCTGCCATCTGCGAATCAAGTGTCTATTCCTGGGCGAGTTCTGAGTAGTAATCTCACGAGAACACCGAGAGGTAATAGCGCTTCATTCAACGCATCCTGCTAAAGGAATGAAGTAACCGGAAAGAAAACCTGTCCATTGATCACGAACATTACAACAAGACAAAGGCGTGTCCATTTCCTCTAAGCGATACTGCTGGGACTCGGACCCAATACCCCCTTAGATGCACAAGTTCGAGCAATGCATGCTAAACCATGCACCTACTCGTTGCCCTCAATATCCGATTCCCGTCGTACAGCTAACAGGGACCGAGCAGGTAGCAAGGCGGTGGGGTGTATCAACTTTAGCTGCAGCTGATTCGAGTGTTCTGAGCTCTATCGAAGAGGCAATTGCTGTGATATGAGCACCGGCATGCGAAGAGATAGCTTCGCGACGTACCACCACAATCCCCAAAGCCCGATGTACACTCTGATCCCCCGTGCAGAGATGGAGTGGAGACCGGATTACATCGCCAAAGCTAAAATGTACAACTGGGAGAGTCAATGATTCGACCCAGGCTCGAACTGGGGACCTTCTGTGTAACACATCCGATCACCACGACGATGTTAGACAGATGCGATAACCAACTACGCCATCGAACCATGACGGTATACTTCCGTCAACATTCGCCTCGGCGGTAGGGTCTGTTGGGAGTGGAAAACGGTGGGTGTGTCAATGTGGGGAAGTGTACGTGATGAGTTCGCTATCGAGAACCAGTGAGCGAGAGAACATGAGATGCATAGGGGAGATTGTGTGGTGAAGAGGATTGGGTAGGTGAATGTGTGCAGGTAAGCTATGTCAAATCCTGGATGGGAAGTTTGCATCATGCACCAGGGGATGATTGTTAGTAGAGGGAAGGTCGTTGGGCGAAGGGAGACGTACCGGGTTCTGGCTAGAACGACGGGGAAAGCGAGAGCCCGTCTTTGTATGTCTACCCCGTTCTTGGTACACATTCAACATATCCACGGCTTGCTACGCAGTATCTGAAAGAAGAGTGTTTTGGGCTGAAGGTCGTTCCGCGGAGTCAGAAGGAGGATCATTACATAGTATCGGCAAGTTCGTTCGGGGAACTGATGTGCCGAGCTAGAACGGGGAAAGGGAGCCGCATTCGTACCCTGCGCTTGGTGCCTCCATGCCTTACTACGTGGTACCCCCGAGAGGAGCGTTGGGTGGTGGAGTGGTTTGAGAGGTCAAGCAGTCTCTTCTATGTAAGGGCAGACTTTTGAAAGAGAAGATGTCCCTGTATAGAGATGAGGAGAGTTCAAACAAGAGTAGCTGACGACACACCATAGCTACGGCTATTAGGAATTCCCTTCAATTCAATCTACGGTGTGAAGCCATGGGAGAGTAGATACATGTGGGATGTTTCGTCTGATGTTACCTCACGGAAGGATGGAGGGCAAGGGTTGGAGATGAAGGCGTTGGGTCGCGGTCTGATGAGTACTGAGAAGATGAGTTCCGGTTCTATGGCGCCATTATGTGAAAACGTCAGCTTGCAGCTTGCACTTGAGCGAGTTCAGAAGACTTACCATAGACAGTAGACGACGAAGAGGATCACCGACGATAGACGCGAAGTGACGAGAAGAGGTGTGACTGTGTCACAGTGACGAGTCACTCATCCGCTGTCGACCGGCTGCCGGGGCCGGTTCTACCTCTTTTCTTGACCACGATGACGATCGTCGACGATTCCCCTTTCCCTTCTCTTGCAACTGTTGACTGTATTCCTTTGAGGTTAGATCTGGGCACCCTTTATTTGGCTTGCTAGAACATTTACTTCAGGTCAGTTTCCAGGTAGCCGAACCCCCAAAGGATTGCAGCAGTATATGTGGAGAACAATCAGGGAATAAATGCGGTGAGAACTTTCCCCTCATATTCTGAATCTTTCTGGTTTATCGAACCTTCGACTTCGATTCCATACGTTCATCAATAAGAACTCGATCATGGAATGACAATAATCCACCCGGAATGGAACGTGTTCACCGAAATCGCATAATGCAGTAAACCATGAGGTATGTTGCTTCCCAAACTGTTGAACGTTAATACCGCAGTTCATCCAACAGCCTAGTCTAGTAACAATCTTGATATATGTCGACTTTGACCCGCGTTCTACATCCATCGGATCGTGGCGAATTAATAGGACTGTCAACACCCGGTTGCGAGTATCCCAAGGCGGTAACTATCTGATTCATTCGTCTCCAGCAATGGGGCCTAACTACACCTCGACCCAGTTATTTTCCTTGAGTTCAAGATTGCCACTCTCGGTGGACATATCGGATCTATTCTATTAAAACATTGGCCTCTCACTACCCCAGACTTTTTATGTCGAACCTCTGCCATCATTCAGCAGTTTGATCTCTCCGTCCTACTTCCATAACCTAAAGTACAACGTACAACTCTCGATCATCGCTCCCGGAGATGTCCCCGTCGGCGTCATCAGATTGTGGGTCTCCTGTTCATAACAATGACCGTCTGTGATTCTGATGGAGCCTAGCTTCTCAGGGAATTGGAAGTCGATGGCCACACCGTTCATTCTGATTTTGCATCTCTTTGATGGAGATTCTGGCCGTATTCTCGGATGACTTGTGGACAGCACATCCTGATGCGTCAGTGGCGCTTGTATTATGATAATGGGGTAGGTTCCTCATGGTATGCATAATTGTTGAGGTGCCATCCACGGTGAGTGTAATCCTTCCTTTCCTCGCTCAGCAGGTAATAGTCCAATATGATCGGAGGCAACAATTCTACTACTTCGCTCAGAAGTACCCACAATACTAACGTCTGAGTAATAGAAGAGCTCTATACTGCGTCCTCCTGTCTCGTTTCCCATTTCGTGACGTGTACGACTACAGGGCGAGGAGCCTCAAGGGCAGATAGTTCAATATCCTCCACCTGGCGCGCAATGCCGTTCCGGGTTTCTGTATGTGTTTGTGGGTATCGATTTCCTCGAGGAAGTGTCGATTGAAACAGCATCATATAATAAACAATTCCCTGACGGAGTCGTGCGCACGGAAGTGCGACTAGCGTGCTAACTTACCACCACTTGAATGATCTAAAATTCGGTCATCAGTAAGAATGTTTTAACAGAATTTTTCACTTACCACTTGGTTAGGAATGGCACTGACAGAACTATCATAAACAAGTGATACCAAGAAGACAAGCAGAAACGCAGTGTATATCGCGCCCGATTCAATGACCAACACAACGAAATCCTGAAGTATGTTGCGGGTTTGACCCACGCCGCTACTGTAGATATGCTCCTTGACTCTCCGGTTCACGTATCCGACACGAAATGCAATCAATGCTGGATGGTGCAGTCTGTGATCATGACATAAGGAATCTACAGAAATTTGCCCTTACCAGTAACTCCAATGCTTGATGCCAGAGCCAAAGCTACAGTGGCGGTCGCCGCATGCTGCGGTTCAGAGGGAACGAATCTTCCAGCAGTTGCTGGTGTTTCCCCAATATTAATTGTAGCGTAAGCTCCGATACCTATTGTAGAAATTAAAACCAACAAGAAAGGGTAAGTCACACGCTTGGTGCCCTCCCAGACAACGTGAAGCCGATATAGCTGACTAGTATAAGTATACGCTCGTTTGGAAACAATTTTGCAAGGAGCTTACCCAGGATGCATCCCCAAGAATGAGCTGAAGCACGGAAATCGCTTGTCTGAGGAGAAATGTGGGACTGCTATACTCTTCGAGAATACCTCCGCCGGTACCGAGCCCTCTGATCAGACGACAAATATTGGAAATAACGTGCTATGCTTCTCATCTTAGCGCTGAGAGATGAAAAGGAACTGGTACATACTATCGAGGAGAGACAAAGCATGGTGAGCCCAAACACATGGATGCGAATAACTTGAGGTGTGACCGTCCTTCTGAAAGTTGACACCAGGGTAATGCTCGTGAGCACTACAAATCCACCTAATGACAGATCAATCAGCAATAATCACTACATATCAAAGCTAGACCTACCGTAAAGAATGCACTCAATCAATGTGCCCAGCACATGGACTTTCGCAGCTTGTAGCTTGTCGAAGTCAGCCATTGTGATGTATAGTAAACATATCTCTGGACTTTATATGCTACAGCTGTACGCCGCTGTCATCGTAAACATCGTGATGGCAGATGGGATACACGAATAGTCGGAGAACTGTGATGTACCAAGCTAGCATGGGAAAACTGAGAGCCGCCTTCGTAGATGTACCCTGCTCTATGATGTCGGGAGGTCGTCCATTCACAATAGTGACCATCTACGGAGACTGGATTCCAATCGGAAAGTTGTTCGATAGCGCTAACCGATCATTCTGATTTTGATGTAGATTCCGGGCTTGTCTTGACGTATCAATAGTGCTCGAATCATGATGCTGGGGTATAGACTACATCATGATGTGCATAATTATAGAGGTACTAGTCGAAGTGAGCGTTAATCTCTCTTCCCCCGCTGAGCTAATCAGAGCACGTACAAGGTTTGAATAATTCGATATGATCGCAGGCAACAATCTGACTACTTCGCCCAGGGCTACCCACAACACTAACGTCTGAGCAAGTGATGAAATAGATATTTCCTGTCTCACCTTTTTCCATTTGGTGACATGCACGACTACAGGGCGAGGAACCTTAAATGGACACAGTTCAATATCCTCCACCTGCCGCATACTGCTATTCCGGGTTTACGTTACTGATTGTGGGTATTGATTCCATCGAGGAAGTGTCGATTGAAACAATATCATATAGTGAACAATTACCTAGCAAAAACGCTGGGTATGGTGGTGACATCTAGTTTTCAACATACCGCGACTCGTATGATCTTCAAACGTGGTTATCAGTAAAGATACTTCTAATGGAACAAAAACGTGAGTGATATTCAAGGTACTCGATCGGCCTGACTAGATAGTTTCTAAGTCATCAGCAAGTCGTCGGACTTATGTTGTTCAAGGTTAGCATGATATTCACATCCTTTCGATGCACGCCAGAGCGCAGTGGATGATCTACTCGTTACACATGACCCCCTCACAGGCACTCCTGTCCATGAGTTCCTTACAGTATAAGACGGCTAGAATACACATTACAGCAGAAGTCGAAAATCAAAGCTTTGAAGGGTACAATCTACAATTCCTCGAGCTACCAACGGCGATAAATGACCGCTGTTCCTCCAAGAAACCTTGCGCTCCTTGCAACCATTCCTTGGGTAATTGCCCCTTGATCAACGCATCTGAAAGCCTACAAAGTAGTTTAGCAGCGGGCAAGAGAAGAATGTAAAAACACCAACTTTCTCACGAACATACTCCCCGAAGTCTTCCCAATCAAAGAAGCAACCCACTTCGAGATTGATTGTATAGCCAACGACGTAGCCCACTGACCAAACGCCCTCGAAATGGCTGGTGAAGCTGCTTCGAATGTCGATTCTGTCAATTTTCCAATGTGGCTACCAAAATGTGCTGCAGCGCCCGTAGTAAACATAGTAAGCAACGTATCATAAAGATATCGTCCAATGATAGCCTCTTGTGTCTCTGCTCGGGCTTTCCCAGATATGTGGTCTTGTACAAGCATTGCGATGGGTTTTGCAAGGCCAGCTGCAAGTGCAGCTCCAGCGGCGCCGC